CTACGACACGCACGACTACGCACACGAACACAAACACACACACGACTCGACACACACAACAACACACACACACACACACACACACACACACACACACACGCACGCACACACACACACACCCATGCACACACGCGCGCGCTCACACAGACAAACACACACGCACGCACGCACGCACGCACGCACGCACACACACACACACACACACATTCGCAAACACCTTTCTGGAACCTGTGCACAAACTCGTACGGTTATCAGTACCAGAAAATTACAAGTATATGTACTTATAGAAGGAGCTTTCAATATCGTCAATCAATGCACATCAGCAAATGAATACAGTTACTTTACTATATGCTTACAACACTTCTAAGTATATTGTGTTGTGACTTGGTGAGAAAAAATAATCCAAGCCATGTTTATTATATGAATAAACTAATATTATTACATGTAGTATAATATATGATCAAGAGATAATAATAAATTAATAGAGTTCTCTTGATATTATGTAGATTTGTGATTTTACATATTTGCTAACTTTGCAACATAGGATAATTCTCTCGTATGCATAGACGTCAAACAAAAATGAGAAGGACATCCTACAAGGTATCAAGTACTCATGATCGTATCTATCGTTTGGTGAAAGTGAATATTTTTAAGACAGGTGCTTGAATTAAAAATCACTCTTGTGTTCCATGCTAATAAGGAGCTACACTGCTAAGTAACTACACTGTCATCACAAGCTGGTGCCACTAGATGCAAGATCACTTCCCGCTTACTCACACTCAATCTTAAAATAAGCGTATTATACAAACACGCCTTTATAGCTAGTGTTGGGGGGGGGGCAGACATGATCCTGCAACCAGTGCTTGCATGATGTCTGCTCATGACTCCGACATAACGCTCCGGTAATTACATGACGGTGTTATCACATCACCACCGTAGTTACACATTGTGACAAGATAGTCCAGTGCCACACGACAGTGTCTGTCACCACAAAACTGATCTTAGATTGGTGTGACATTACAGATTCACTGGGTCAACTATCGCTCATAGGGTCTATGTCCCCCGGGGTACTGCCGGAACGTACCCTGGGTACGGTCCGGTATACCGGAACGTACCCTGGTAACTATCTGATATGGTTAGGGTTAGGGTTAGGGTTAGGGTTAGGGTTAGGGTTAGGGTTAGGGAGTAGGCGTAGGCGACTCCCTAGACTCGTTAGTGGAGTAGGCGAGGTACGGTCCGGCATATTAGATAGTAGTCATAGTACCAGGGTACGTTCCGGTATACCGAACCGTACCCAGGGTACGTTCCGGCAGTACCCTGGGGGACATAGAGCCTCTCGGCTCAACTATCGACCGCATAGCTGTCTCTTGGACTACTAAATCAGGTGGCGACATCACTTTGAGGGTGTACTGATGAGTAACTAACTACACACCATCAAGGAAGTTGAAGGTACGAAGCATGCAACACAGATGTGCAAAACACGCGTGGTAGTCACAGCAAGCCGCATTCAGAAACAAGGCAACACAGAAGAGGATAGAAACAATCAGCCTTCACCTACCGCCCACGAGTATCGCCTGCCCTGCAGCACACATAAAGCAAAACAAGATTCAGGGCAATAACGTCTCTCGTACTCGACCTCCTCATTTCCCTAGTACAAGCCTGCCAGCAACCAGCACGGCATGCGGGTTACTCCATTTACGGGTTGAATGAGAAGACATGAGTTAGGACATGAAGCCGGCAAGAAGTCAGTGAACTTACCTTCACAAATGATAGTGCATGCTGTTTAATAACGTAAATCGTCCTGCATGTGAACAAAATTCTGATCTGAATAGTCAGAATAACTTTGAGGAAAACTGTCTAACTTTCTTTTTAGTATCCAATTACAGTTTCCAGCTAATAAAAGCAACCAGATCTCATACTACAAGATTTTTAAGTCGCGTTGAAAATTGAAAAAAAAACTGCGCATAAAACCTGGCCTCACAGAAAAACCTGCTCAACTATTTTCCACACAAACATGAAAAAAGGCAACTAAAGACAATATTAAAGTGACTATGTCCCCTTAAATAGCCTAATAATATCAATTTCATTACAAACTATGAAAAGAGAATGATAGTTTTCTATTTCTGCATTATACTTTCTAATTTTATCATTTCACTCAATGTAAACAAACATCTTTTTAACACCTTGTTAACAATTCATATATAAAGCAATTTTGATACCATAATAATTCAAAGTGCTCAGAATTTTTATATTTTATAGCTAGATTAAAACCAGTCTTTTCGGGTAAGAGTTTAAAGATGCCTTCCCACGCACATTTGTGTGACAAACCACTGTAAAAACGTAAGTAAATAACTCACTACACTTTAACTGAACGTTAGCTTTGGAAATAAAACTGTAAAAATATGTATCAAGCCAATATTCGCTCAACAAAAAAACAACTCGAAAAACGTGTTTCGCCGCGGTTCTGTATCATGGCGGCAAGATACGCAGGTCACGTAACCAGCACAGCCATAGATATCATCAGAAGTAGATAATAGGGAATCCCTATTATCTACTTCTGATATCATATAACACATGCGTCATATGATATCTATGAGCACATGCAGCCTTCATGAACTTCAGCGCTTGGCAACACTGCATGGCAACAAGAGACGCGTCACAACATCGCCGCAGAGCGGCAAAAGTAAACGCCGTCTGAAACATTCAACCCGACACTTTTACTTTGTAGTCTAATTAAAAGCTTCGAATGAACATATTTCCGGGCATTTTTTTTACCTATCACACATGGGCAAGCACGAACGTGCAATATGTTCAAATAATTAATTATTGCCTGATTTTATGTTTTCCGCTTGAAATTTCGTGGAAAGGCACCTTTAAGGATGAAATTGTTATTATGTATTACTATGTACTTTTAATGTAAAAAGTACACTGTTTTTATTTACAAACACTTCTACCCCAACTTCTACCTTCCTATGTATAAGGGTGACATAGTCATTTTAAACTACAAACACACACCAAAATCTACACACGACAACACTGTAAATTTATAAGAAAACGAAGTGGGGTGCCGTCGACAACATTTAAGATTAAATTGAATAAAAGATATTATTGACAGAATATAGATGGCAGCACCTACCCATGAGGTCCTTCTGCTGCCGCCCTGATCCACAGCAAACAGAAAAGTATTTAGTATTCCCGCACATACAAATACATCCTGACCAAATTTTCAATTATATTAAGAGCATAAATTCAAGATTTTCACGAGCTGTTATTTTTCTTTGCTAACTAAGAAGGGGCTAGCTATGACACTGGAATACAGCCAGGCAGGAAATTTATCATATATACATATATATAATCAGGAGTTAATAAAGACAAATTTTGTCTTTATTAACTCCTGATATAATATAGCATGTGATGCTGCAAAATGCGTGAAGACAAACCTGCACCTTTTACACGTGTATAATATACACTACGTCTACACAATGCGAGCAGAACTACAATTTCATCTGGATTATCATTAAAAAAAATTGGGGCATTATCATTAAAATAAATCTACCCATTTTTGATTTTTAAGGGAGCCCAGTCACTGCCTTAACACGGTTTTCTACACACGTTAATCTGTTAACACTTTTCACTTTTATGGTAGGAAGAACAGCGACCACATTTTACTCCTTGCCAAACTCGGCATCGTGTAGACATAGTTTAGTAGCTATAAGCTGAGCAATAAACCATCACCACCGCATGAGACTCGCAAGCATGCTAAGTGGATGTCCCACACATACTCCCGAGATAGAAAATACGGCTTCCGCAAATGCAAGAGCATAGGGGATTAAAGAATATCTATAGTGAGAACTTAAATGCCTGAAAAGGGAACTGAACTAGTAATGAAACTAGTAATGAACTATTAGTGTCATATTTAATGTGCTCATAGTGCCTCTAGCGGTCAAATCTAGGTGACGCCAAGCTAGCTAAGCAGAGTACAAATACAAGGGTAGCGTTCCACCATGCTGGTTATGCTATAAATGCTCGATTCATTTGTTTTCACTTTCCTGTGCATGGTAATATGCAACATGGTGCAGAAAGTGTGTTAATTACTGATCTATAACGGATGCCCTAAATCCACCAAGCCATGTGAATTTCGTGTCAGGGAAAGTAGCAGCAGCAGCTTTTAGTCTACTATGACGCATGCGAGCTAAATGCAAAATCACGGGCCACTCAAGTCGTCATTCTGCTCCATGCCACAGGCCCTGAAGCACAGATTATCTACAAAACTTTAACGTTGACTCAATAATCTGACAAAAAAAAACATTAAGAAAATACTAGACAAGTTTCAGGAATATAGTGTGTTCAAGGGATATCAATTCTAAAATAGAACCAACATGAAAGTAAATCGGTCAATCAATGGGTGACTGAACTAAGAGACACGCAGAGAGGTGATTTTGGCAATCAAAGGTCTTTTTGATCCGTGACAAATTTGCTTTTGGGATTTATTATGCCAGGATTAAAGATAGGCTAGGTACGGGAGACTATCCTCATACTTGGAAAAGCCACAGATGTCAGCAACTTACAGATGCAAGCTCTGGCTACGTCAACCACCTTACTGCAGGTTAACACTGTTAGGCAGAAGACGTAAGATACCTGGAAGGCTGGAAGATCAAAGCCGCCGCTCACTCCGCGCACGTCGGTGAATTGTAAACAATGCGAGTATCTACTGTGGAAGCTCACACATGCCTCGGAAGGGCCCTGCCTTTAGCCAGCAGTGCGAGAAATGCTCTGATTTCAATAGTTATGCAGCAGTTTGTCTGGGCGTGATTCGGAAAGTAGTCACGCCCCAGGTTCGGATCCCCAAGCAATTACAAACGCCAGTTGGAGCGCTACAGTGTTGAGCGTGACAGTCGATCTAAGAAACTTTCAATTTGGAATGCTACAAAAACATCTTGTCAGTAAGTGATATAGATGATGACTATCACCAAGCTCTCTTCCTCAGTGCCAGTCCAGTAGTTTTCAAGCTTTCCACTGGTGCAGATACCAATGTATCTATACTACTACAAAAACGAACTGTCTGTCTGTTTGCTATGCATTCAGCCGTCTATTGGTTTAGGATGCCCAAAATTGCCACACTGTTAGGTGATCACCCTTAGGGTGGCCTAAGCACATTGCCTTAACAAATATCCACTAAACCGTCTGTTTAGGAGCCTTTATAGAACACCAACACAGTGCTGACTGCCTTTACGAACTCTCAGGTCATGCCAGTAGGTAAGGTACAGTTGTCAGTATCAATTTGTTGTGGTTTAGCTACACAATTAGTGAATTTCTACGTGACATGTGGTTCAGCCATATTAGGTCATCATATGTGTGTCTGCATGGGACTGGTGCAGTGTCCACCCGTCATCGTTTGCCATCCAGTCTGAAAAGTCCACTCGTCGATCTCACTGAGGAAACACTACTGAAGAAATACAAGCTTTCTATTGGACTAGGTAAAAGTAAAAAGATATGACTTCGTAGTCGAACCTGAGTTACCCCCAGATAACTACTTCTGGATCAATGAGGAACCACTCGACATACACTTCGCCTGTGAGAAGTCTCACCAGTATATCTACCGCAAATAAGTGGGGATACACTGCTAATCACTGTCTATTAAGATTCGAGTCTAATGAAGACTATAGCTGAAGCCTCGCACGTCACTGCAACGTAAGATGTTACAGCTTCTGCGATACAGTCACTAGGCAATACATCTAAGGCAAGTTCATCTACGTTGCTGACACTCTCTACAGGGCGTACTAATCCAAACTGTGCTGCGCCCAAATCGCATGGGAATGGTGGTTCATGGCTCACTAACAAGCCTAACTGCTACTCCAGGCAAGGTCGAGGAGATTCGACTTACTACAGCTAATTTGCCAGGCACCAAATTCCCACACCATTCACCAAAAGGATGATCACTAATAACTTGCCATTTGGAATTCCAGCCTTTAAGTTGTTCACTAGCAAATGGGGCATCACCCTAGAGATGCCCACCCCTCATTACGTGCAGTCAAATGGTCAAAGTGAAAGACCAGCGGCAGCGCACACCATGAAGAAAATTGTGAAGAAAGCTACCAGCGAGGGGAGATATCTCTACATAGCATTCATTGCTGAAGTATCGTAATACATCAGTGATGAATTTTCCTTTGGCTCAGAGCCTCAGATGACTATCATGAGCAGAGCGTTGCGCTCCAAGCTTCCTACCATACCCGAGCTGCTGGAACCAGTGGTGGTGCGACCCAAGAATCAGCTACATAAGCAACAGCAAATGTACAGCGAGGAATACGACATGAAAGTCGAGGAGCTGCAACAATTGACGTTAGGGTAGTTTGATGGTCTACAGTACCAAGGAACATAGCAGCTTGCCACTGTTATAGCCAAGGATACCAACCCACGATCGTACCTATAGCCAGTCACAGCGAGCAAACCTAAAGGAGAAATCACAAACACTCGTGTGAAGGAAATTTTGAGGTTCCTACAGAGTCGCAGGATTCCATATGTTACCTCGAGCAGAAACGCCAGATGATTACGATAAGAAACGGGAACTACAGCAGGATCTCGAGGGTCCTGTGAAGGCAGCCCCGGGAAATTGTGATAAAGCCTCCATGCAGGTATGGTGATTATGCGTGAATTCACTGTAACTGGGCAAGGTCAAAAAGCACTGTTGTTTTGTTACAAAAAAAAGGATAAGGGTGAATAAAAATGGCATGATACTGATTGAGTCACTTGACTCAGCATTTGTGATTGCATTTCTTCACGAAAATTTGTTCCATTTAACATATATATTAGACAGGTATATTATATTATACTGTAGAAAAAGAAGTGTGTCAAAAACATTGTTTAATGTTGAAAACCACTTGAGATGAGAGAACAATTAATTTAAATATATGTGATGCATAATATAAACATATGCCATGAAATACATACTAGTTTTGAAGTAGATGAGGGCTGAACAAAACAACAGATAAAACGATGAATAAAATAACACAATACATTAAATGTCACCAAGTTGTGATTTGCTTTCAAGCACTTTCACATGCTAAAGGAACACTAGTATAATATAAAAATTAATCTGTTAATCGTTAATTAGTCCCTGCATTTACAGGGAAACTGATTAGTTCACGCAGCTCATGTTATGACTGACGGAAATCTACAGATCTGAGATCGAAGTCGAGAAAGTCGATAGTGGAAGCTTGATGGGTTTCTGGGAATAGTAACTAGCTAATCTGGCTTTGCGTTGTTAATTATGAGAAATTACGAATCTGCCAGACAATTCCTCATCGGTATAAACATGTACAGCGTGTTGGCACAGTTGTATTGTTTATACTCTGGGAAGCACAGCACAGAATGTCTATGACACACAGTATTAGCATTGATCTATAATCGTGTATTGAATATTTACACGTCTTTTATAAACGTGTAGTGTAAATTGCAAGCATTTCTGTCACGTAAAAATATTGTGTAAAATTTATGAATACACATTGAAACTGTTGTGTATTACATTAACATGTCATTTTTTCTCATATCAATATTGTAAAATGTTTTAATTTGTGTCAATGTTACATATATATCTAAAAGGTCATGCCTATGCAGTTGTATTATACGTGGTGTAAGATGTATACACAATGTAATGATGATGATGATGATGATGATGATGATGATGATGATGATGATGATGATGATGATGATGATGATGATGATGATTAATTTATTCTAGGCACACCAAAATTGCAAAAAATATGTCACATATTTTAAGCAAAATCGGCAGTGAATAAAAGATTAAGACCCCAAACTATAAATTAGGCCAGTGGTGGTCATCACACAGATTTTTCTCACAGAAATCAAACACAAATCTGAGAAATTTTGCAATATCTCTGAAAGTAGAGTATCCGGATACAGCATGAAAACGTGTAAAATTAAACAAATAAAACGAAAATAAAACGAGTTTTCATGTACATTCTCTCAAGCAATTAGCACAATGCATCCAGTTGTATGGCTACCATTTACTAGACTGGGTTAAAACTAAACTTTATATAGAATTCTACAAGCACCTTAGTGTCACACACATTCCAGCTATTATCAGTGGTAAAGTCTAAGGATGACTGACATTAGCACAGGGCAAGCAAGCGAATGCAGCCTGATAATCTATACCTTAATTGTGTTGACCGGTTAAGATTAGTTAAAATTAATTAACCTGACTGCTGCTAAAATACTTGTCTAGGTTTAGCCAATCATCTTGTGAATGGTATGTCCAGACTACCTTACTGCATCATAGTGAAAACAAACCCCCTCACACCTAACAGACATTTGGAGACATTTAGAGGATTAATGTTGGTATGCACTCACCTTCACTTGAGTGTAAGCTGACTCCATCTTCTCCTCAAACGACTTGAATGCTGTTGTACTTCTGTAAGTGATAACAAGGATATATATAGCAGGGCCAGCCAACGCTAAAGGGCGATGTAATCGCCGTGAAATCGCCTAGTGTGTCCACTCAATCGCCGCCGATTTCATCGCCCGATGCCATCGCCCGATGTCATCGCATAGATCAAAACGTTTTGATATTATCGCCCGATTTCATCGCCCGATTTCATCACCCGATTTCATTGCCTAGTGTGTCCGCGGCCGGCGATAACATCGCCCGATTGTACAATTCATCAGCCAATCAGAGTTGTTCAATGATACTGTACTTGTTCATACGTAATAGCGATGTTTCATGTTTAGTACGTCATGTCATGTAATAGTAGTGTTGTCAATCGGTTGTAATTTCATAATCGATCATCGGTTGGACCCAAGTAACCGATGATCGGTTACAATCGGTTACTCGGAGTGTTGAATGCCTGCGTGTGCATGTACGTGTGTGCCTGTATGGGCTTGTTTAGCCCTGTTTACTGTTTGTTTTGCACTGTTTACTACTGTGTGTATAATACATGTATGTTAATATTTAATAATAAAGGATAACTTGTTTACTAGCGATGATATCTCTGATTCTCATCACTTTTCCAAGTTTTCTTGTTCAAGTTTTACATTTATTTCGAATTTATTTATTTTTTTATTTTTCGATACAAAATCGATTATGGATTTTGATAACCAAGCGCTTGGTTCGAGCCACTGTTCAACCGATGATCGAGTATAATCGATGATCGTGACATCACTAAGCGCTTGGTTCGAGCCACTGTTCAACCGATGATCGAGTATAATCGATGATCGTGACATCACTATGTAATAGCGATGCACGCACGCACGTACGCATGTGTACGTGCACACGCACGCACACACTCATGCACGCACGTGTACGTGCACACGCACACATGCACGCACGTGCACGCACGCACGCACGCACGTATACGTGCACACGCACACACGCACACACGCACGCACACACGCACGCATGCACGTACGTTTACATACACACGCACGCACGCATAAATGCACGCAGGTGTACGTGCACACGCCCGCACGCACGTCTACGTGCACATGCATGCACGACTTATTCACCGGCGATTTAATCGCCCGATTTAATCGCCTAGTGTGTCCACTCGACTCGCGCGATAGAATCGGGCGATTTAGTCGCCCTTAACAATGAGCTATCACAACAATTTTAAGCTAGAATCTCAAAATGAAATCGACACACGCAGATGCTTTGAGAGCTCCCATAGGCTTTTCTTGAAGACGTGGTAGGGTTCGAGTGGCCCAGCAAGGCAAGTGCAATGCTAGGAAGGGTGTGTGCATGTACTCTCAGTAGTTTATTCTGCATATCTACTATGGTGGTGCATTGCGATGCACTGTGAGTATAAAATTCAAATTATGAGGAAACTGTCTTTTGTACAGGAGATGCATCCGACTACCCTGGATGAGCTAATAAAAACAAAGAACTACAACCACAGTACAGCATGAGAATACGCATCAAAAGCTTAGTGTTGTTGTTTTTTTACCTATATCTGTGTCTCCTTACAGTTATATAAATACCCTTTTTATACATTATATCTCAGCACCTGTTAGATATTAAAGGTAGCTCAAACTAATTTGGAAAATTTCTCTACGTTTGCTGACATGCTGTGTCTTTACTTTACTGTCACCAGCTTACACCTCACCAGTGTGTGTGTGTATCGAGGTCACAGTTGATGATCAAGGACATCACAAATCCCAGGGTATAGCAATAGTGAATACTGATTCATCGACATCAGCAGTGTTACAGCAGTGAAACTGAATCAGGTCATCCCTCACAAATAGTGTCGAGTTGCACGCAGGGGTAGAATAGGCACATGTACGAATATAGTGCCCACGCCATCCAGGGGCACAGTTTCTCCATAATTACCCGCTAGCATAGTCTAGTTGCCACCCGTGTTCAGGTGAACTGCAATACTCGAGATATTGCAAACGTGTGGCATCACAACCAGCAATCTAAAAGTGTGAAGACTTATAAAATATAGGTATCGTATAGGGCCTTTGACATTTTTCAAAGCAAGTTTCAAACCGGTACATTATCACGGGTAGTTGGCACGAGCTGTGCATGCAAGCAGGTCAAGTCAAATGCTACTGATCGTTCTAACTACAGTCAGCATTGAGGATCGGTTTTGCCAGCCTGTCAGTCCACCACAGGAGAGATGACACATTTGCTGAATAAGGACAGCCTATAATTTGCCATGCTATGTGCCATAGACATGCAGTATCCCGACTACATGTGCTATAGGCTAGTACACGCTTGGACACAGTATGCGTATGCAACTTTCTGTCAACTAAAAAAATACAACAATGTTTTTAATAGCTTCTAATCATATTACTGTTGCTTTAAAAAAAAGACAGCACTATGTCTGGTCTATGCAAAATAAAAAGACTAAAACTAGTGTTAGTGCTATGTATATTTTCCATTTTTTGCAATATTCTATAGCATGAACAATGCGCATATTTGTTTTTCTTGCGGACAAGAAGTAAAACTAGGCAGTTTTATATTTTTACCACTGAATATTAATACACAAGTTTAGAAATAGTTCAATTGATGGATAGATATTTTGTTATTTTCATTTAATGTAAGAAAGATATACGATTGAATATTTGAAATTGACTGAATACTGAAATATACTGAAATTTGACTTGAATAACAAGTGCCGCGGAGCGACAGCGCTCATCTAACGTCTACTGCGGTGACTCTGTGGTGGAGTGGTGGGATTCTAGTAAACCCTGTTAGTCCCAAATGTGTTCACATACACGCCGAAACAGTGGAAGGCACAGGGATGGTATCAGGAACCTTCTCAAAGGAATGTTCGTTGGGATCGTTATGAAAGTTGCCACGAGATGGCGCGTACGTTTAAGTGTCTTCAGATTAAAGATGGAAGCTCCCATCGTACGTAGTAGCAACAACCATTTGCAAAACAGAATAGGTAAGCACTCATCTTGCGTAGGTAAATGGCCTACAGGCTGAAATAGAGAGAAGAAGGTTATGCTCCTTAAATCGTATAATTTCTATGGCATTCTGTACTGTCAGTGTGTTACATGTAACGTATGCCACTGCCAGTGGCCACTGCCAGTGCATGTGGTGGTGATATTACTGTGTAGTTTTTGCCTGCGTTAATTAGTTACAGGTGGCAGCAACCAAATTTAGCTTTTGAAATTTCACTGTGACATTGTAGCCTCATACATCCAGGCATGTATAGATTCTACTAGCAAACCCGGCAGTCAAATTCTTTCTAACGGTAAACAAATCCATGTTTAACCCTCCTCTTGAAGGTCAAAAGCTTATCAGACACTTACTCTTCGCAAGTCAGTGGAAAGCACATTTCATGGTCCTTTCAATAAAGCCATAAAAATGCTAGGTCACCGCTGAAACAAAAAAGTTTTTCAATCGCTCTGTCAGACCATGTCCACAGAAAATGTCTAAAATCTGCCTTGTGCCCCATTGACCTTTGACCTGTGACCTCTAATTTCGGCACAGTGATGGCTTTTCCTACCATGATGCTATACTATTACGAGCCTAGGTCGAGCCGTTTAGATTTGTGCCGCAATTCTGCATTTCCTCCCTATACCTAAGTTAAGGAGGGATGTTCCCCCTTCTTTTACACCTCTTGACCTTTGACCTTTGACCCCCAGCTTCGACATCCCAACTCGTTTTCGGATTCCCCCCCCCCACGTCCCGAATATCATGACCGTACGTCGAGCGGTTAAGATTTGTGCCCAACTGTTGACGCACGGACGGACGGACGGCCGGACGGACGATCATGCGATTCTACAAGCTGCATCTGCATGACTACGTCACATGAGCTAATAAAAAGGCATGTTTTATGCATTTACATCAAGAGTAGATAATAAACATTTATCTACTCTTGATTTACATTAAAAGTCACATGTTAACAGGTAAGAAAACTGATACAAATCACAGATAGTATCAGTACAGTATACATGCACTCTCATGAATCCAGAGTGCATCACAGATGGTCCTAGCCGAGAACAAATCAATCCCTAGGCACACTGTATAATACATGTTTAGGTGGTATTGGGTTGTTTATGGATGTGCATGTGAGTGAACGCACACGCCCGCGGTTTCTTGTCTACAGGGTTGGGTTGGGGTGGGGTGGGGTGTGGTTTGGGATATCTAGAATGGAAATGTCAATGCATACATGAACACACACACGCACGCACGCACGCACGCACGCACACACACACACACGTGCACGCACGCACACATACATGGGTTCATGCTCCACACACTCCGACATTCCTGTACTGCTGCTGTAATCATATATGCCACGTATCTGCACACTGCCAACATGGTAGCAAAAACACCTATAACCAATATCTAAGCATTGCGAACTATGCATAAACGAACCTGAGATCAACCATCTTTTTGCTGACACTTGTACCTATGGAAGACAGTGCCTCTGTGGTTTTTTCACCTGCAACTTTCAGTCCATGGCTGGTTTTCTGGTATCTGAAAATTTAATAATTAATGCGTTTACTAGAAAAGATATTTAGGATGAAGCCAGGTATAAAGAAACATGAATGATGTTAGTTATGCACATGTGCTGCTCACATAAATATTCTGTCCTATTCTCTTATAAACATACACGTTTTATCGTGCAATTATATGGATATTATTTCCTTGTCACACAAACCCTCGAGAAGAATACCTTACTATCTAGTCAACCAATTACTACAATGTTGCAGAAGTGGACACAATTAAAAAGCAAATACAAGAAGAGCATTAAGTTATGTGTTCACTATATTATACAAAGGTATTACAATGGAATAGAGATGAATATCAGATAGCACTCATTTAATTGCCATTTTGCTAGTCAAGTTGATCAGTGATGAAAATAAAAATAATGTTGGACCACAGGATTTCATCATAAGGTCACCCAGAATGTGAGGGTTTGTTTGCATAGGAAAAATATCTATAATCAGTGGAATCACTACGGTTTGAATGCTACGATTACGCAAATACAATTCGCTTATTGTTTCCTGGAATTCCGGTCCTTTTTTCACCACTATCATGAAACTATTTTAATATATACTTAAAACGTCTAGAAACTGTTAGGGAAATACTTCCAGTACTTTCCTAAATATATTTGCTCAAATCATACTTCAACAAATCATCATGCTCATAGAGCGATTTTAGTGTCAATTTCCAAGTTCATGTGATAAGCTGGGTTCCTAAAATTTATGCTGAGCCCATATAATTTTTGCTTTAAGAACCCAGATGGCTACTACTTTTTAAGCACATTTACATCACTGTTGACTGTTGTTATTAATCACATTGACTCTATGAGAGCCTTCATATTTTGTTGAATTCACATTATGGACTATAAGTCAAATGTTAATAACTTAAAGGAATAATAGGTCCATTGATTATGCAATGTTGACGAATGCTAGAGTAACTGGCACCTTGTGTAGTTAAAGGAATAATATGGCCATTGATTATGCAATGTTGACGAATGCTAGAGTAACTGGCACCTTGTGTAGTTAATAAGTACATTACCTTATAGCCAAACGCGTATTAGTTTGTACAATTAATATCACTGCTGTCTAAGAAATATCTAATCTGAAATCAGCAGTGCCAAAAATCAGCTTGTTTTCAGTTTTTCAAACCACTGCCGAGCGGAAGCGGGTGTGATAGCAGATTAACGTGCACCGGGTGGCGACATTTCCGTCGCGGATAAGCTCGGCCGTACGCCATGCTATCATCAGTGATTTTCATAAAACAATGGACGCTCGTGATAAGGCCTTTTTTGTCAGGGCTGTTCACGGTGCGTCCGCTGATTAGTTACGTGTGTTTTTTAGCTCTTATTTCCCATGTTTAGTACGCGTGGCCCGTGGTTAACGACCGTTTGTACCACCTTCGTTCATCTGGCCGTCCAAAACAGTATGGGGCCGCACAAATGTTTACTTTACGTCATCGCTTGACTCCTTGATGACATTTACGGCACGTAAATGATACATTGATACATTATCAACACCGATTTCAAGTTATTGTTTCTAATGTACCACAGTGTATTATGGACAAACTAATACGCGTTTGGCTATAGGTAATGTACTTATTAACTACACAAGGTGCCAGTTACTCTAGCATTAGTCAACGACTCAACATTGCATAATCAATGGACCTATTATTCATTTAATACACACATATTATTTCACCCAACTGTTAGCACACCAATGCATGCAATTGCAGCCCTTCATCTAATATATATTGTGGAGTTCGTATGTATGTATGTATGTATGTATGTATGTATGTATGTATGTATGTATGTTATGTATGTATGTTGTATCTTCCCTATATAGGCGGCCAAACCGCCCAAGCGATCTGGATTGCAATTTTCACACGGCCATCTTTATACCCGGGGAGTGTTCCTAGATGGAAAAAATCTGTCAAACGTCAAACCTCGCGCGAAAATCCGTGAAAAAACCCGTCAATTCGTCAATCTTCACACAATGTTAGCACTCACTGCTACAGTGCTCCACACACAGATTTCTTGCCTCACCTCATGATCTCATCAGCTGCTGGTATTGTGAAACCGAAACCGAAATCAATACTAAAACAGAGCATAACCAGGACCAGTTCAGAGGTACTACTCACTCTGAGTTCAGAGTCAGCTTCAGATGCTACGATCTCAGAATGCATTGTCCATTCCAAAGCTATGCTTTTTCTGATTTCAATTTCTTAATTTCAATGTGCATAATTGCGCGCCAAGCATTCACTTAGACAATATCCAGTGGACACAGACCCCACTCCGCTGGCCTGTCTCTATCTATACTATATATGGAATTTCTTTTATTCGTGGTACGATCTCACAATGGATAGCTGTACGTGGGAAGCTCAAGAGTTGGATACGCCAGGAATCTCTACATATTTGCACCCAGAGAATAACAACGAAAAACATTGTTTATCAAGAGGCTTTGAAATGAAAAGTCCAACACATTCGTACATGCTGTTAATATAATAATCACTTTTTGTCATTTACACCATATTACTATTATGTCCCAGGGGTTCTAAGTTGGGTTGTGCTATCATGTCATACGTAAGCAGTTTTTTCCCATGCTTATTATCTTATTAGACTGATTTCTAAATATTGATATTGTGTGCAATGTTATTGTCGATTTTTACCCATGTTCCTATTGCGTCCCATTATTAGTAGTATGAATTAGTAGCACGATTTTACCCAGCGCAGCGGTAACCGCAGCTAGTCTAATATATATTTGAGTCGTATGTATGTATGTATGTATCTTCCCTATAGGCGGCCAAACCGCCCACGATCTGGATGCAATTTTCACAGGGCCATCTCTTATACCCGGGGAGTGTTCCTAGCTGAAAAAAACCTGCCAAACCGTCAAACTCACCGAAAAATCCGTGAAAAACCCCTCAAAGACAAAAATCGATCACTCATTTCCGTCCAGGCTGCTGGTATTGTGAACCGAAACCGATACTAAAACAGAGCACAACAAGAACCTGTTCAGAGGTTACGACTGCATTGTTTATCAAGAGGCTTTGAAATGAGAAGTGCAACCCATTGTCGCATGCTGTTAGAATAACTTTTTCTTATTTACACCATATTACTATTATGTTCCAGGGGTTCTACGTTTGGGTTGGGCTGTCATATACAATACGTAACCGCTTTTTTACCATGCTTATTATCTGATTAGACTGATTTCTAAATATTTATAGAGATTCACTATAGTTTGAGTATGAGTATCATATAGTTTGAGAGGTTACGATTGCTCAAAACATCAACGCTAAAGACGCGTACAACGTGAGTAAACATTCTTTATAATTACAAATTTCCCCACTCGCTGGCCTGTCTGTATCTATATATCGACTTTTTTTATTCATGCTACGATTTCAGAATCCATTGTCCATTCGAAAGCTATGCCTTTTCTTGATTCAGATAGAAAAATTCCTTTATTTCAATGTGCATGGTTGCGCGCCAAGCATTCACTAGACAATATCCAATGGACACAGACCCCACTCGCTGGCCTGTCTCTATTCTATACTATATACCCAATTTCCTTTATTCAACCTACGATCTGACAATGGATAGCTGTACGTGGTGAGCTCAACAGTTCGAGACGCCAGCAATCTCTACATATTTCCACCAGACAATAACACGCAAACCATTGTTTATATCAAGAGGTTTTTCAAATGAAAACTGCAACCCATTCGTACACTGCTTGTTATAATAACTTTTTCTCATTTCCACCATATTACTATTATGTTCCAGGGGTTCTAAGTTGGGTATAAGTCTGCTGTCATATAAATGTCATACGTAACAGTTTTTCCCCATGCTTATTATCTTATTAGACTGATTTGTAAATATTGATATTGTGTGCAATGTTATATTGTCGATTTTTACCCAATGTTCCTATTGTGTCCAATTATTAGTAGTATGAATTAGTACCACGATTTTACCCAGCGCAGCGGGTACCCGCAGCTAGTTTATAAATAAACTGCACCAGCATCACATAAATCATTTTGCAATGACTTCTGGCTACTTAAATGTTGGAGAAGAAATCGTGCAATAATTGTTACAACTGGTACCAATGCAATGGACTGCCACATGCTGACAAAAACATGTACATCCATCATCAGCAGGGTGTTAGCCATGGAAACAAAATCAGGGAGTCTCACCATCTGAGCGAAGCGATGATGCTGTGGGCGCGAAGCGCCCTCGAGGCTAGGGGGAGGGTGTGGGGAGGGTTTTCCCCCTCTTACGGTGTTGAATTTTTTTTTAATTGGGCCACCCTCATGCCGTCTCTATCAAATTTCATCCGTCTCATCCAAGGATAGGCCATCCAGAAGATGGGTAGACGGGTCTCGGGCTAACACACTGATCATCAGCGGACTACACAAACGCATTTACTTACACGTCTGATTCAGTGACGGTCTTTAGGCCACTCTGGATGTCATGTTGCCACTCCTGGAGTGGTGTTATGCCTAACTTCTGCTTTAGCTCCTGTGAGCGCCGTACCTTGGCTGAGAGGACCTGCCGCAGAGTCTGTATTTCATCATCCACCTGCGGAAAGACGGAAGAGCAAGCATTTAAGGTGGAATCATCACTGCTTGATACAACGGAGTAGGAAAACAACGAACATCTAACACAGAATGTTGAAGTATTTTTCCAAGTATTTTCGTGTCTCTTCTATACAACTCTCCTGTTAATTGTCTATAAAATGTCAAAATATCACACATAATAACTTTAGTGACAAGACATTTTTGTGTTCAAAGTAACATTTCATGTAACCTTTGAGGAAGAGCCGTTCTTCATTTCACCAAGCACTCGCTCTCTCTCTCTCTCTCTCTCTCTCTCTCTCGCTCCCTTTCTGTCTCTCTCTCTCTCTCTCTCTCTCTCTCTCTGTATTACACAGCTGACACAAGCTGAATATAGATCTAAAACACAATACATATATAGTCTGCACACTTGGTTTCGGTATGATTGCGAGAGAATATGATGCTACAAGTGAACACCCACCTTGATCAGCTCTTGCCTCCATTCCTCCTGCTGCCTTGCATGTTCTACGGGGTCCGTTATGTTCGGATGTACACCGGAATCAGGAGAAGCAGTTGTCGAATTGTACAGGTTCTCATTTGTCATCTCTGCATTGTCATAGAGTTCATGATCTGCCACAATAGAAAAATCTTCCTGTGACACCAATATTAGAAATGGGAATAACGGCTACAGAATCAACAGTTGTGCACTCGAAAAATTTCAATATTTTGGTCAGTAGAGTCGTTATCTGATAGTAGTGAATACTTAAATTGACTACGTCACGAATTTTCTATGGTAAAGTTTGTAAATTTTTGTTGCCATTTTTTTACATTAAAAGTAAGAACTATCGAGACTAAACGTATCGTCAAATTCTTACCTGATAAGATTGTTTCTCAACTAGTTAAAAATCCAAAAAACCTAGACGATTTGATATTAGTGTTCCTAACATTAATTGCTTGCTATGGGCTTGCTATGTATGAGTCACGAGTGTATGTTCACATCAAACAATATAGTAAAATAAGTATAATGCAGCAATTTAACCATAAAAAGTGAACAGAATTACTTATATTTTGTGAAAAAGTGGTTTTTTTTTTTTTACTATTTACGTTGACGTAATCACTTTAAATGATTACATATTTCATCTACTATGGCCTTTATGATGCAGTAACTAAAGCTAGGTGTAACACTACACACTGTAGCAGGGGTAGAAATTAACTTTTAAACACGAAAGTCCGTAGCAAAATGATAGAGTCTGCAGTCTGAAGTTCAAAATTAAAGATATTAACAATAACACGTGCTTATTTTGAAGATTCATGTGGTTACACGTCTGCCCAATTTTCTTTGGACATAAATTTGCTGAAAAAATACGGTAATTCTGCGAGGCCGTGCTCTGGAACGAACTAGTTAGTATAGTATGGCAGAATTTTCAGGGAGTCACACGAACTGGGGTTAAACTCTCAAATCGTGAATTTATTTCCCCAAGGCGTTATTTCGAAATCTGGCGCCATCGCCGCCATCTTTGTCTCATTAAGGAGGTGTACAACAGTAAGCCTCCACAAATTGTTCACAGTTGCACTATTTCGTCTCTAGAGAAGGCCTTTTTTGGCTTTTTTTTTCGCCAAAATTCGGCACCAGAGTGCAATAATTTGCATTATGCACGCAAGTTAGATGCCTCGTGGACGTCTAGAAAGCATTAGAAGTAAAATTGGTCTTGTTGTGTACTCGTGACATTCCGTCAGGTGGCGTAGCCGCAGCGACCGGCTGGTGATTTTTGTGTATGAAATGTGTTCAGACAACTTTGCAGAAATTTGCATCATAGAGCTGGCAAAAGTTTCGAGCGGAGCATAGAGCATGAATCTGTAGTTATTTAACATGAATAAAGTGTATGTTTTGTAAGTGCAGTAACAGTGTGAGTATTTTTAATTAATTTCTGTTCGATGCTTATTCAGGCCTGCAGCCTATGGACGCCCTCTACTGTTGTTCAACACCTTAACTTCACTGGCAGCAAGAACAAGTCCGCACCTGCAGCTACAGCACACACGCGGCCATTGACTATATATAACAACATGGTGCTTAACTCGCCGCCACACGGACCACAACTCACCGTTTTCCATCAGTTACAACTCCGGTGTTCCTGCAGGTGACTCCACTTTCCAACTATCGCTGGAATCGTGGAAGACTGCTGAACAAGCTACACCCGCCATTTTTGACAATCGGCCTGCCAGAATGCGCTCAAATCACAGAAATTCCTCAAATATCCATGAGAAATGATTCTTCGAATGCTACTATTGAAGAAGACGGCAGGGCCGGCTGCGCTGATTGGCTGCAGCAAGTCAGTTGCGTAGTTGCGCAGCCTGTCTGCGCATTAAACTTGCTGCAGCCAATCAGCGCAGCCGGCCCTGCCGCCTTCTTCAATAGTAGCATTCGAAGAATCATTTCGCATGGATATTTGAAGAATTTCTATGATTTGAGCGCATTCTCGCGGGCCGATTGTCAAAAATGGCGGGTGTAGCTTGTTCAGCAGTCATCCTCGATTCCAACGATAGTTGGAAAGTGGCGTCATCTGCAGGAACACCGGAGTTGTAACTGATTGAAAACGATGAGTTGTGGTCCGTGCGGCGGCGAGTTAAGCACCATGTTGTTATATATAGTCTGTTGCGGACAATTCAGCTCTATCAGGCAGATATTTGAGCCATATTTGAGATAATTTGTCAGAGTTATTTCCCTTGCATTGCGCTAACATTGGCGCATTGTGAGCGCTAGCTATCCGCCCTTGACAAGAGAGGGCGCTGGGTGGAGAGAGATTATGGGATGGTTTCCTGGAATCGTGAGGCGCACGTTTTGGAATTGAAAAGGAAACCAGAGGAGGCCTTACGGGCAGATGGGTGATGAATGTTTGCGTGTATAAGTTCCCAATTTGTTTGTACCTGAGATTGCCGGACATCTGAGATACTGAGATACTGAGTGAGCTACAGGGCTAATATGTTCTGAAGGCAAGTGAACTGATATGTATTGAGCGAACTGATATGTATTGAGTTTTGAACTGAACTGTTACGCACTATATCGAAGCTGATCTGTAGCCTAGACACTAACTTGCATCGTTGTGAAATCGTGCGCCTGACGGGCGGTTGAAGTGAAGTACAGAGATGGTCGTGCATTATGTGAGGTGACTGTGAAGCTAATGTACGTGCATTTGTAGACAGTGTGTTGCTGCAGAATTTTAGACTGGAAAATAAATGTTTGAAACTGTATTCGGTGTTATCAGCGTGACTGCAATTGGAACGAATGAATCACCCACAACATAGTCAATGGCCGCGTGTGTGTTGTAGCTGCAGGTGCGGGCTTGTTCTTGCTGCCAGTGCTTAACTTAAGTATGAAAACGAATGGACTGCCGTAACCGTGGGCCGTAGCCTCGAGACATTAACTTTAACTTTTAAGATAAGGCTGCTGTACCCGGCCGTAGCCACTCCCAAGTTTAAAAGTAAAACAAAGGTAGTTTTTTATTACCTTTTTCCTCTGGTGTCATACTCATCTTGACGTGTTTTCTTAAACTCGATATGAAACGGCTTCACACTGCGAACTTTACACGAGAGACACTTAATTGCTACGTTGTCAACAAATGTGGAAACATGCGCAATGACTGTGATGACTTGACATATCCCTTATTGCACCGCGAAGTGAACACATGAGCATCCTGCTGCTGTTCATTTGTTGTTTCCCAGCTGATTTGTGGGTGAAATTTACCACACAACGTTTTCAAAATGGCGATGCAAAGAAAGACAAACGTGAGTTGTTGAACTTGTTCACGTAATTCTCACAAACTTAGTTGTTATTAATATGAATAGCATAAGAACATTATTTAGGTTTTAGACAAATTATCTAATTCATTAAAAACGAGAGTGCAGTATTCCGTCTTTCTAGCTCTTCATTCTTCATTAGACTTGAAACTCGCCGAAACTCCCATTCAATGGTTCAATGATTCAATGGCCATCGGCATTGATACCTTACCGGTTTACTAGCCACAAGTTCCCTTCTCGCTTAACACTACGTGGCGAGAGGAGGCCGTGTAACAGTCGGAGAGCGTGGTCGGTTTACCGGTTTAATAAACATGAAAACACCGTCACTTCTGCAGGAAATGCGGCGGTAGAATACACACTAACACAGGCACTTGGGCCGTTTCAATAATAAAATGATGGTTAATAATAATAACGCTGTTGCTGCTGCAACGGTACCGTCGCCGATTTTTTTTCTCTTAAAGTCACGGTACTGACGCCTGATTGGTTGATAAGCGCAACGAGCGCTACCTGTCGTCAAAAAGAAAATAATGCGCATCAGTGATTAGGGATTAGGGTCAGGATTAGGGTTAAGGTTAGGATTAGGGTTAGGGTTAGGGTTTTTGCATCATGATATCTGTCCCCACACCATAGATTAATTTTTGTGGATAACACTGCCTATATATAGCGCGGCGACACATATATATATTTAGTGTGAAGGTTAGTATTGGCGGTGTTGGAGTGAGGGTTAACGTTAGGGTTAACGTTTTGAACGTCATCGTCAACGTTATCACGTGACCTCCCTCCACGCCCGGGGGATAGCAACACCCAAAAGCAACGGTAGTTATTATTCGCCGATAGATGGCGCTGGCATCACTACCGTGACTTTAAGAGAAAAAAAATCGGCGACGGTACCGTTGCAGCAACAACAGCCTAATAATAAATACAACTTGTCAGTACTACTAGTAGTAAGTACTACTACTACTAGACCTACCACTACCAGTAATAGTCTTAATGTTTGATTTGACCTAATAACTTCACTTCAATACCGTTTAAAGCGAGAGAGAGTCGCAGCCAATAGGGATCTCGACTTGGTTTTCGGCAAAAATACCAGATTTTCACCACTCATTATCTCAGCGTAGGGGCATCGAAGGGACAAGCGGCTTGTTTTATATATATTAGTAAGGTAGGACAGCTTAGAAATACTACCGCAAAGAATCGTCAAAATAAAACGGGCAAAGTTTCTTAATTCAACTAATAGTACAACATGGTTTCAGTATTTCACCGTTGTACGCTCTCCATTTAATACGCTCTTGGTAAGTCTATGAGATGGTGAGGTTAATGTTAGAGTCAAATATTGAGGGCCAGTGTTTTAGCTTGGTATTTTCACACAGTAACTTAGCACCTCCTATATTGATTAGTCTTTCAAGTCCAAGGGACTATATGATATCAAAGATAGAGAAAGACAGGTGATCAAATATTATAGAGAGATCAATGTTGCGGATTGCAATGCTAATGCACAAATTTAACACCCATGTGTGAAATTAATGCACCATGTGCAATGTTCCCCACGTTTTTACACTAGAATTAGTTGGAGCCCTGCCACTTCTGCAGGAACTAAGTTCTTCAGAAGTTGACAAGTAACATAGTTTATTACGTAGGTTGTGTGTATGATGTAAGGTGTTACTCAATTCATCATCATCATCAACAACAACAACAACAACAACACTGTGACTCGCTGGACCCGATAATTACGGACTGTTATGTCATAAAATGACGCCTCTTGACATTGTGCACTACATGTTTGGGCTGAGGGGACAGACCAATCGGTACTAGGTGGCTACTATCGATAATACCTAATAGTCAATATTCCAGTTTTTTTTTTAAATAAATGAAATCTAGCATTTACTACTAGATGCTCTCATGCACTATCAGTTTGGCCCAGAACACTACCCAAACTTATATGGAACAGTCAATTTTAAAGGTTACTAACAGGGGTCGAAATTCGCTAAAAAAAACACTTGCGCATGCCACAAGTTAGGTTAAACAATTACTTGTGCCAAGAGATTTTTACTTGCACCTACCTCTGTTGCTCTCCAAACTGGCAGTACCCCTTCCCTTTCTCCCTGTTTTAGTTTGTGATTTATTTTATGTCTTCTGTGTCTTCCTGCTCTGATTCAGAGTCATTTACGCTTCAATTTCGTACAGAAATCAAAATAAAATGGGTCTGACTTCTAAATACGTAAGTAGCTGGCATATTGTTGACTTGCGGCAGCCGCAAGTTGCTACTAAACATCGCTTGCGTTCGGTGAAAATCAGTTGTGTTGCGCAATCACTATATAGCGAATTTCGACCCCTGGTTACCGACACCATGTGGGTCAATGGCCAAAAAAATATATATGAACCCTGCTCTGACTTGATCCACAGCTACTGACCTACATCTTATTACCTCTGCCCAACGGAGTTGGAGGAGGTTATGTTTTCGCTCTCGTGTGTTTGTGTGTTTGTGTGTTCGTGCGATCGATATTAGCGCGTCGAGTCAAGCCAGCCAGCCATCCACAGCCAGCTCCAGCAGCAGTCGGCAGCAGCGAGCGGCGAGCCAGCTCGTAACACATACATGTTACATGGGAGCGTGTACATGTCAGTACACTGGCGTATATCAGGCTTTCATTTTTAAGGGGCGCGATCGCGCTCGCGCTCCACCGCGCACCATAAATTGTGCCATGGTGCGCGCATCATCGCGCCTCATAAAAGTGGTTGAAATCGCGCACCAAAAGTCTGTGTATTATGTTGAAATAGCGCTCCATTTTACAGGGATGAGAATCTTCCGCGGATCCGCGGAAATCCGCGGATTTCACAGTCCCAGGGTCGATTTTGTGAAACGTCTAAATCCGTTGAGAGAAAATTTTAGGGGGGTTAGAATGTACAAATTTTCATTTTACAGTCCAACAGCCTACTAACAGTACCTTCATTTAATACCATTGTAATATAGTTTGCTTTACAATATAGACACGGCTTAGTTCACTGTTTGAGATTGTCAGACGTTGGTCAGTGTGTGCGTTTATTTGACGCTGCAAGCGTGTGTGGTTGTGTATGCCGCGCGTGCTACGCAGGCCGTATATAGTACGCGATCGATCGATCGTGTACATCAAAAGCCGCCGCGTCACGCGTGGCCTTGAGGCTAGTTTTCCCTGTCCATAGAGTTGCAATGGATCGCGAGCCCTGACTGGAGTATCTATTCTAGCCCAACTCTTGTTTCAGTAGCCAATGAGAATGCAGCTTTCATACACCCTTCGTCGTATCTTAAAACAATGGCAGACCTTTTAAGGGTGTGATTTTTAGTGGAGCTCTCCATCATGCCTCTTAAGGGTGTGATTTTTTAATGGAGCTTTCCATCATGCCTCTTAAGGGTGTGATTATGGAGCGTGAAAAGTCCCCCTATGGTGTTCTAGGGGAGTCATTAGTAGTCCTCCTGTACTTTTCAAATCTGAAAGCCTGGTATATCGTGGGTTATTTGTGTGTTCGTATGGCGTATGTCGCTGGCGGAGGTATGCACCCCGTGAGTGCACTCTGTCTAGTTAATACTTGTGCCCAGTTTTGTGAGTCCTTAAAATAACAATATATTGTGGCCTTTGGTTTTTATGTGGGTGTTTTGATTTATTGTGGTTATATTTGTTTAGGTGAGGCTGCCCCCAGAAGTCAACAGGATTCTCTATGTGAGAAATCTACCATACAAAATTACTGCAGAGGAAATGTATGACATCTTTGGAAAATATGGTGCGATTCGGCAGATTAGAGTGTGAGTATTCCATTTGTGACTTGTTCAGTATTTCATATTGTATAGCACAATAGTCTGACAACATTCCACATAGAAATCAAATCATGCTCATAAATTAACGAATATCATCGAATCAAACAATCGGTGTATCAGCATTAACTTGCTTTGTTATATGGGCAGGGGTATTATTCAGTTTATTTTTACAAAGTTGCCGTCAATAATTTCTAATTTATAAGCCATCTAAAAGGATGAAAGTACTGCATATGTGGTTTGTTCATCAGTACATGATATGTCAAATGCAAAAAAGTTGAAAATAAAAATTGCATTCCTTCGATGAAAAGCTGCCATAAATGGTCGGATACACAGACTTCCATTTCTAGATTGCCACATAAAAATGTCCCAAAAACGACATGCCTAATGACATAGCTCAAACAAGCCTTATGAATTGATAAATATAGTTTGGAAAATGTTAAGAAACTACGATGTCCGTTCATTCAAAATTTACGTAAGCGTGTGCAGATGACACAGCAACAGCGTCACATAAGTTCAGATAAGTGCATGCTTACTAATCTGTGATCATAATTTCAAATTACTTCATGCAATGTTCAATGAAATTACACACATGATGAGTGTGACATCCTTATCTGATGCGGGGTTTCTTATACATAAGAGGCACAGTGGCGCACCGCTGTTGTCAAATATAACATCGCCATTGTGAAAATGGTTTCAGGGTGCCTCAAATGCAGTCTAAGACATTCAACTGCTTAAAATTTAGCTGGGGGAGACTCCCCAGAACCCCCCGCGTCCGCCTGCAGCGTTTGTAGGTGTGCCTTTGAATCCATCATGCGCGTTTTTTTCAAACTGGCCATTACCTCCTTTGTCTAATTTTCCCTCAGAAGAATCCTTGTGATGACAATCTGGGAATGCGAAGAGTGACCAAGGCAGCATTTGTGTTGATTCTATTGATTCTATGTGGTCAAAATATTTTTATACAAACATGCTTCAATAGAACACTATTTTGATTCGATGCATTATTGGCTATTGGGGAAGGTAGTTTTAATTGATTAGCATTTAAAACACGAATTAATCTACAACTTAATAATATTTAATTTCAATTAAAATTATAACAAAATTAATTATATAAATCCAATACTCTATGCATGTGTAAAACCTATTTGTTGTTCTGTTTAGAGGCACAACACCAGAAACAAAAGGAACAGCATTTGTGGTATACGAAGACATATTTGATGCCAAAAATGCTTGTGATCATCTCTCTGGATTCAACGTGTGCAATAGATATCTCGTTGTCTTATACTACCAACCAAAAAAGGTGCGTGTTACGGAGAAAATCTTTAAACATGCGCGTGATTAAATTTAAAATGTTGTTGTCTGCTCTAGATATGCTAGTTTATTTTCATTTCAGTTATTAATTTGTCATAATGTCATGCATTTACCTATTTGTTAGTTTAGTAAATTAATTCCTAATATTGCTAGAAGCTTCATAAAAATGAGCATGAGAGAAAATGTTGAGTTTGTATCTAGAAATGCAGTAAGTATATCAAATCAGACTATTTGTTGTCATGTATGTGTTTATTATTTTGTATAGGATTTTCTTTTATGGATCTGTTTCTGAGTGAGTTGTTCTTTAATATTGGGATGTTATTCTGTAGGCTTTCAAGAAGATGGATCAGGATAAAAAGAAGGAAGAGTTGGATAAAATGAAGACGAAATTTGGAGTTAGCACAGATGAGAAGTAACCTGAATAATGATAACTACTATATAGGGGTAAAAAATATGAGATAAAATGTATGATAGTCTGACATTACAAATATAGGTTCAAAATATTTACCAGGTTTCATTACACTATTGAAACTATAGCGTACATATTCTTAGCCCATATACGTGATGTGGAAAAACAGGTAACATAACTAGAATCTGAGCTTGGCTAAAGTTTAGCAGAAATGTGTATTTGTTTGTCACAAATTTTTCAATATGTGTAGAAAATATGGTATGATAGATATCTGGACTGCAGATTAAATGATATGAAGTTTCAATGCATTCCAAAGATTCCAAATCGAGGATCTATCGAGTCCTTTGTTATAGTTCCAGCGTATTTTTTTTGGAATTCTGCCAAGCATTATAATTTCAAAGTAATATGACTTGACAAAATTATGTTACAAACTCCTGTTCACATCATGCACTGGTCAGTCCATCTCTCTCCATCATTCTTCATCTCTCTCTCTCTCGCTCTCGCTCTCCGTCGATCTTCGTTTCTCCTACTCTTGCTGTTGTTCCCATCTCTGTCTCTCTTCCTTCGTCTCTCTTGCTCTCTTGTCTGCTCTCCGTTTCGCTCTCACCAGTTTTCTTGCCAGCGGTGTACCCAGCGACTCTTGTGTCTTATGGCCCGTAGATCGGCATAGTGGAGTATCTTACGTTGCGTCTGCAAAGGAATACCCCGGTTTTGGACTGTCACTGGCTCCAAAATGTAACGTTGACGTACGCTTGATATGTATGAATAAAGAAGGAATCCAACCTTGTGTATTAAACTGCTTAAACATTAATATCTGACACACAGTGTAGTCACATCTTGCACAGAGAGACAAAGAAACGCGCACACGCGCGTAAACGCGTGTGCTTACTCCCGCGACCACAACCAGACTCCCGACTCCTATATCTCTCTTCTATCTCCTCCTCAATCTCTTCTAACCGCCTATATATTACCGCCAAAACCCATACATCCTGAGCGCACATGTCACCCGTTCTCCCAGACTGCGTCCTACCTCCATTTCACAATAACCCTAGAAACGCCCGATCTAAAACACGTTTATCATTCTCCGTATAACATCATTCTAGCCGCACAAGATGCGCGACGCTCTGTCTACATAGACTACTACTAAATCAACCCCCAGCCTAGCCTCGCTGACTAATTCATGCAACATTTGTAAAACATGTTACATTATCATCAAACATGTCAAAGAACAGATACTGTAAATATTCATCTTTTCCACTGTAAATAGTAATTGTAAAAGAATGTTTTGTGTAGTTTATTGCTATTAGCCTACATTGACAACTTGTTGATGTATTGTATGCTCGTTTATCATGTCATATGTAAAATCAAGCACCAGCCAGGCTATCCAAGTTGTACTAATTTTGCAACTGTATTCATATTGCACAATGTACATTTAATAAAAATGTAGAATCTGTTGCAAACTAGATATTGTTTTTTGGAAAATATGGTATGAAAGGGTAGTGTGCTTCAATTTTTAGCTCATCTGACATAGTCAGATGCAGCTTGTAGAATCGCATGATCGTCCGTCCCTCCGTGCGAGCGTCCGTCCGTCAACAGTTGGGCACAAATCTTAACCGCTCGACGTACGGTTACGATATTTGGAACGTAATGGTAAATGGTAAATGGTAATCCGAAAACGAGTTGGGATGTCGAAGCTGGGGGGTAAAGGTCAAAGGTCAAGAGGTGTAAAAGAAGGGGGAACATTCACTACCTTAACTTAAAGTATAGGGAGAAATGCAGAATTGCGGCACAAATCTAAATGGCTCGACCTAGGCTTGTGATGAGTCGGTGTATAGCATCATGGTAGGAAAAGCCATCACTGTGCCGAATTGGAGGTCACAGGTCAAAGTCAATGGGGCACAGGGGCAGATTTTAGACATTTTCTGAGACATGGTCTGACGGAGCGATTGAAAAACTTTTTTGTTTCAGGCGTGACCTAGCATTTTTATTGCTTTATTGAAGGACTATGAATGTACTTCTGCTGACGATGGCGAAGAGTAAGTGTCGGATAACCTTTTGACCCTCAAGAGGAGGTGTTAAACATGGATTTGTTTAAATGTCTGTTAGAAAGATTTGACTGGCCGGTTTGCTAGTAGAATCTATACATGCCTGGATGTAGTGAAGCTCACAATGTCACAGTGAAATTTCAAAAGCTAAATTTGGTTGAAGAAGGTTTATGCTTGCTTAAATCGTATAATTTCTATGGCATTCTGTACTGTCAGTATGTTACATGTAACCTATGCCACTGCAGTGCATGTGTGTGGTACTGTGTAGTTTTGGCCTGCGTAATTGGTTACAGGTGGCAGCTCTCTATTGCAGCCTGTAGGCTTGCCGTAGGTAAATGGATGAGGGCTTACCTAATCTCGTCTTGCAAATAGTTGTTGCTACTAACGTACGTGGAGCTTCCATCTTAATCTGAACACTTAAACGTACGCGCCGCATCTCGTGGCATACTTTCATAACGATCCCAAGCGAACATTCCTTTGAGAAGGTTCCTGATACCATCCCTGTGCCTGCCAACTGTTTCGGCGTGTAGGTGAACACATTGTACTAACAGGGTTTACTAGAATCCCACGCGACGTCGCACACAGAGTCACGCGTAACGTAGACGGTAGATGAGCGCGTGTCGCTGCCCGCGGGACTTGTTATGCTCACTGACGTAGTGCGGCGTGCAGCTTAGCTAGAATCGGCATGAATCGTGCCGTGCGCCGTCTGTCAAACAGTTGGGCGAGCAG